TACGAGTCCGCGCACCGCGCCGCACCGCACCGCGCCGAGCCCCGAGTACGGAGTACAGAGTACGGGTGCCATATCAGGCGGGCGAGCGGCAGAGCAGTGCGGACCGGATGGCTGATAGGGGTACCGCCAGGGGTACCCGCCGCGCAGGGCAGGGGGAGGGGGGAGATGCCTATCTTCGCGGCGGTTATCAGGCACACCAGCAGACTCAGACTCCAGCGCAGTGGCGCGGAGTGGCGGCGACACACAGTTGTGCGAGGCGCAGTTACGTGCGCAACTCCCGCGGATACCTCGGCATCCCTCCCACGCCTCGCCCACGCCTCGCCCACGCCCCCGTCGTTAGTACCTGCAGTACCTTGCAGGCGGCGCGCACGGCGCGCACGGCGTGCACCGGGACGGCCGGACCGCCTGCAGCCCTTCGACGCCACCCTCGCGGGGGAGGGGATGGGAGGGGGAAGGGCCCGGGGCGGCAGATAGCGACGGAATTACTCGTGAATGACACTCATCTTTGTCGTATATGAATGTTTGTATGAGCAGAGCCGGGGCGGGGCGGGGCGGCGGACGGGGAGTTGGGTGACTGTTCTCCAGAGATACGGAGTAGGCGGCGGTGGCAGCGGTGGCCCTGATGCGTATCAGCAAGACCCAAGCGACGCAGAGCGATGGGGGACAGCCCCGCCCCGCCCCACCCCGCCTCGCGCGTGCGGTGCAGGGCGTAGTGGGAGCGACAAGGACAGCCGCGCTCAGCCTGGCCCGCTCCGATAAGGGCCAGAGCCTAGCCCCCTCCCCCCCCCCCTCCCCCTCCGCGTTAAAGGCACCCCGAGGGGCACCCCCTCGCCGCACTCCACCGACTCCCCGGTCGCCGTTCGCCTAGTGTCTAGTGCGGTGCGGCGCGCGGCGTGCCGCCCGGCGGGTAGGCAACGCAGCCGCAGGCGTGCGCAGCCACTGCCTACCCTCCAGGCGCTCTCCACCTGATGCACCGCCAGCTCAGAGCCGGGATCGGGGTGGGCTCTAGTGGGCTTCGTGCTTTTCCGCCAAACCCACTAGAAGCCCGACCCACGAAAAGCCCACTCCGAACGACAAAGCCCACGTAGAGCCCACGTTCCGTAGCCCGTTCGGCTGCTGCCGTCGCCCGCCCCGCCTCTCCCCTCGCCTGTGCCTGTCGCAACTCGTCCCGACAGGTGCTGCCACCTAGCGGACAGAGGTTGACCCTAGAGACGCCTAGTGGGCTGGAGAAGCCCACTACGGATCGTGGGCTCTTAGTGGGCTTGGGAAGCCCACATGGGCTCGCTGAGCCAAGCCCACTAGAGCCCACCCCGATCCCGGCTCTGCGCCAGCTGCCCACCTGCATCATTCGCCAGCTGCCTCGCTGGCCCGCGCCCCCATGCCCGCCATCCACTCCGTTCACCTTCTGTCGCGGAAATGTAGCCTAACCTTACTTTGTGGCGTATCACGGCGGCACCGGCCGCGCCACGCTGCGCCATCGCCGGCAACGCCCCCCAGGGCCAACAGCGCCAACGGGGCTCGGCAAGGCGGCAACAGCTCCCCGTCGGCACACGCCGCACACGCCGCAGCGCCGCGCGGTAGAGTACACCGGCAGAAACGGTCGGAAACTCGGGAAATCCACCGCGAGGTGGTGAGTTCGTCCGCCCGGTCGGCCGGTCGGCCACGTCCCAGCACGAGCACGACTCTGCACCCGGAAGATGGGAAAAGAAAAGGGGGTGAGAGGGGGTGCGGGGTCCGATGCCAGATCGGCGTGCGGTGGGGGCCAGTGGGGACCAGCGGGGACCAGCGGCGACCACCCCTGCCAGGCCAGGACGGCGACGGCGCCGCGCAGGGCCAGGCCAGCCAGCCCAGCCAGCCAGACGTCATCTTTGGCGTCGCGCGCGCGACCGTGTGCGAGCCGGATAAGGAAGGGGTGGGAGGGGGAGGGAAGGGGCAAAGAAACGGGGGAAAGGGGGTCTCCGCCGCTTCGCTACCGCACCGACTGCTACAATAAATCCCGCATCTTATTGAAGGCAGTGATGGATAGAATAAAAAGGCGCCGTCGCCGCCCATCCTTTCTACCCCTCCGAGCGACTTGTGTTCACACACTCTCACACACAACGCGCAGGCAGGGCCAGGCAGGGCCGGGCAGGGCCGGGCAGGGCCTTGGGGGTGGGGCCGGGGCGACGGGGCGTGGCGTGGCGTGGCGGCGTGCGGGTTCGCGATAGTGCTCGCCACGTATCTCTGCCGCACACTCGGCTGTAGCAGTGTAGCGGGGCGGACCGCCCGGCGGCCAGACGGCGGGCTGGGCCCTGGCTGGGCAGCCCTGCAGGCCCTGCAGGCCACGGCAGCCCGCAGGCTACAGCTACCTTGTTGCCTTGTAGGCGCCGAGCACTGCCGCCAGCACCGCCAGCCAGGCCTGGATGGCCTGCACGGCCAACGCGCCAGCCGGCGGAACGCATCACCGCGACTGTCTGCGCTCCCCCAAGAGCCTCTCCAGCGTGATGCCCTGATTCCTAGGGATGCTAAATTACCGGTAAAATTCAACGTTACGTAAAAAACGGTAATTTACCGTAATTTACCGTAAAATTGGTAATTTTCGGTAAAGTTCGAGTTTTTGGCTGATTTATCAAATATTCATGTTTTCCAATGTATTTAAAGTGTAAAAAGGGGTTATTTTTATTGATATGACAGTAAATCGACAAAATTTACAAATCAGCGGATAGGGTCAATATTTATTAACTGATCGACCAATTTCAATTTTATAAGAAACCCACTGAGATTCCAAACGCTATGGGTATATCACGTAAGGTGCAATGCACTGAGATATCGCACCATACGTGCAATGCCATAGCCATATGCATGGGAATGGGAAAGCAATGCAAAAGCATTGCACAAATTGACGCTACACTTAAAGCGTTTGGATTCTCAGTGCCGTCGTACACAAAGATCGACGAGCAAAGCAGCGGTGTATTCCCCTTCAGCAGGCACAGCTTTCTTGCTAGCTAGCCAAAGCTCCTATGTGGACTGTTGCACGGTGGTGAAGGGCGGTCAGTTTGAATCCGTTACGATGATAATATGTTACACTTTGCTTCTATTTGAGTCCCGAGTTCATTTAATTTACAAAAACAACTATATGGCCAAAAATTGAATTTTACCGTTAATTACCGGATTTTCAACGTCGCGGTAAATTACGGTAAATTACCGTTATTTACCGGTAATTACCGGTAATATTACCGTCCTTCGCATCCCTACTGATTCCCATAAGTCATGAGTAGCTCCTCGTCATCGGCAGCCAATGGCGTCCCTCCCCTTCTGGAGCCTTTAGCTGCCCTGGCTGCCTTTGGCCGGGGCGACACGTAGGACGCTCTCGCCCCGCGCGCCCCGCCCCGCCCCGCCGGGTATCTCTGCCTCATCTCTTTTGTTCCTAGCGTCCCTCGAATGTGTAGCGATTCCGGCGCCACAGAGAAAGGCTGCTGCGCAGTCCCAGAGGCGCCCTGCCGCGCCCCGCCGCGCCCCGCCGCGCCCCGCTCGCCTCTTTTGCACCCCATCGAGAATACGCCTCGACAGCACGCCGCTCCCCCCTCTCTCCCTGCCATCTCGCCGCACCAAATTGATAGTACACCCCGCAAAGGCCGCGTCGCCGCGTCGCCGTCGAGTGACAAAGCCTCGTGTCTGCGAGGCGGGCCGGGCCGGGGCCGGGGCGCCAGGGCGCGCCAGGGCCGGGGGCTGCCGGGCCAGAGGCATCTCGACGCGCACTGCCGCTCTGCCGAGCCAGCCGAGTCGGAGCCGCCAGCCCGCCGACAGGACAGGGTGCTCGAATCCGAAACCCCTTTGATAAGTGGGCAGGCAGGCCGCCGTCCGACGATAGTCCGCGAGCAAACGGCACATCTCTCTCTCTTTCTCACTCTCTCCGGCGCGCGCTCATGGGGGGTCCCGTATGGGTGCGATTGAGACAGAGCGACGGTGGCACTGTTCGAAATCGCTCTGCGGGTAAGTGGACAAAGCCCTCGCCACGGCGCCCTTGGCCTTAACAACCCGAACAGCGCAACGAGCGCATCGCATCGCATCGCGCACTCCGCGCGTGCGTTTCGGCTTCGGCGCGACAAGAATCTCATGGCGCGGCAGCAAGGCACTAGAGGCACACGCGGTGGCCGCGCCGCCGTTTGGCTGTCGCTGCACATGGACATCGTTTTGACTGGCGTGTGGTCCGGGAACAAGCACCGGACCGCCGCTCGGCATCAGCCCACAGACCATACCGGCCATGCAGGCCGACATGGCGGGAAAACCTGGGCAAACTGCAGGCAGACGGCGACGACGAGATGACGACAGCGCGCGTACTCACGTTTCAGCAGCGGCTTGGGGTGGCTCTGCTTCCTCCGGGACATGGTGCTCCTCGTCCGCGTCCTCGGGGAGGCACCTCGCCGTCAGAGCGCCGCGCCGGGTGTCAACGCCTCAGCAACGCCGACACCGGCTTCGCGCTTCGCCGTCCACTCGCGGCCCACTTCCCCATCGCACTGCCGCTCTGCTACGAGCACCCCGTCGTCTTGAAGGCACTACACTGACACAGGCACTGGACACAGGAGGTCGTCGTCGCGGCGTTGTTGAGCGGCAGAGGACACTCGCGTGGCGCGCGGGGCGTCGCTCGGCGGGCGTGAGGCGTGAGCATCGACGACACGAGCGACGGGCGGACGCGGCAGCCGGAGGGGCACTGCGGTGCGGCACTGTCGCGGAGCAGACGTGTTGCCGCCGCCGCAGCCGTTGCGCGACTGGCGCGAACGCGAAGCGCCGAGCGGAGCGGCGAGCGGCGAGCATGCGGGGCCCCCGGACGCCCTCGCCCGCCCCCGCCCCTCCGCCCTTCCCTTCCCTTCCCTTTCCCGGCGTCCGCGCCACTCCGCGCTCCGCTCGCCGGCATGGCACCCCTCAAGTCGAGAGGGCTGATTGCCCTTTCCCCATGACACCCCCGGCACATCGGGAAGAGGAAAATGAAAAAACAAAAAACAAAAAAAAGCAACAAGAAATAGACAGTTGATTTCATAGTTTAATGGCTATTGCTAATGATCACAGATAATGGACACATTGCTTTTACAAATTCATTGTCAAGGATAAGTCAACGTCAGCCGCATTTACAATGGTGGCCAAACTTCCACAGCTTTGTGTTGAGCAGATTCTGGGAGCCACTGCTTGTACGCGTCTAAAAGATCTGCAAAACAGAATAAAACTTATTATTGTAAATCAAGTTTGGAAGGTCTATGTGAAAAAAAAAGGTTTCCAGATTGACACTTACAATGAGGCTCCTTCTTCCACACACCACGAACTTTTTCAGCAGAGTCACACTCCTTAGAAACAAGGGCTTTCAAGAGAAATTCAGTACGAGGTTGTAAACTGAAAGAGAAATGGATTCATGGTTGGAACAGGTACATATTCGGATGAGCATTAGAATAAACTCAACAAAAATGTTTCCTTACTTTGCCCAAGTTTTCACCATAGTAGCTGGTGTAGATAAAAGAATTTTGGAGAATGTAGCCAGTTTTGGGAAAACTGAACCTTCTAGTAGGAATCTTGCAAACCATTTGTACCTATTAAGAGATGGTGGGAATTCTAATTCCATGATAGGAAGTGGCCACCCCGATCTTCCAAATGTAGATGACATATGGCAAAGAAGTCTATCAGTTTCTGATTCATATCTTGGAGGAGGTTCCATCATTGGCTCCGAAACATTACACAAGGCAGGAGCAAATACAGGTAGCCACTCTGGTTCAATGGCTGTTACACCTAAAAAAGTTGGGAAAAAATGTCATGTTGTGCCTTACTCAGAACTGTGGAGAAACAAAACAGAACGGGTGCTGAGATAAAATACCTCTCATGTATGTCTTGTTAGTTTCATAGATCTCTTGGTAAACAACCCATTGTGGCAGATCTTTCCGAAGGACTGATGCAGAATGCAGGAAAACAGGACTTTCCATCTCTGGGATTTGGTATGCATGTTTCCACTTACGTTTATCTTCACCCTCCTTTAATTCATCTAGATCAACCCTTCTAGCTACTTGGTCCACAAGCCCGCTCAACATCATCTGCACAAATGTTAAAAACAAGTTTACAAAAAAATTATTTAATGAAATAAACAGGTGTGAAAGAAATTTTCCAGCCGACTGCTGTACTTACCTGCCGCAGTAATTTTGACTGTATATCTGATGGGGGCGGCATATTAGGATCAACCCCAAGGTTCAGATTGGGTACATTAAGATTAACTTCATTGGTTAATTGAACTCTCAATTTTCTGATTTCTACAATAGCCTTGTGCCGCAAACCATTATTTGTGCAGAAACCCATCAAATCCCCTTGCTCTGCTGCATACTCAGCAGCCCCAACTGCACGCAGTAGAATCATTGGATCACCTGTAAATCAAAATGACAAGTTACAAAACTATCTAGCAACAAACATAATAAGGAAGAAAGTTAAAATAACTAGAGATGAAACGTTACCTAACAATTTTGAGTTGCCAAATCCAGACCACTTCCTTCGCATTTGACGCCATTTCTGCTGAGTACTGCCTTCTTTCTCATTGGCACCGGATGTAAGTGACACCTCTAATAACACTTCTTGCACCGACAAGGCAGCCACAAGGCATACTGTAAGTGCCAATAGGTCATGTTGTTGGCTAAGAGCTAACATTTTACCAAACCTTGGGGAAACCGGAAAAAGTGAAATAGACTGCCCCAAAGGTGTGAGCTTTCCGGAAAAGTCATCTGGAAACACAATTTCATTTTGGTTCTATTTTGATACAGGTCAATATGATTTAAAATTGATGCATTCATCATTGGTTACCTTCAGTTCCTGGTTTCAGAGCAGACAATGCACCTAACAGTCTTAGTCTACGCTCAGCAATTTTAAGCTGTATAAGATCAGGAGGAGTGGGGAAAGGGAAATTCACAACTTTATGGATGCTCATGGCTTTCATCTGCAGAACTAAATCATCAACTGGTTTTCTTTGAATTTCAGGAGTTGTGTATAAAGGAAATGTATCATTAAAAACAGCTGATGAATACAATCTGTAAATTCAAACAAGATCAGACAAGGGTTCCATGTATTAAAAATTCCATGTTTTTCAAAAGTACCATCAGCAACAAGTGCACACCTGTAACAGTGGCCTGGTCCAGTTCTACCAGCACGACCTGCCCTCTGGTTGGCTGATGCCTTGCTACACCAATCTACATCAAATGATGAAATTCCTGTGACTTTGTCATACATTCGTGACTTCCACTTGCCACTATCAACAACATACTTAACATTGGGTATAGTCAGAGAGGTTTCAGCTACATTGGTGGCAACAACACACAGCCGGCAACCTTCTGGTGGTGGTTGGAAAACCTAAGTACAATGAATGATGATGATCAGAACAAAGTTGTTGATTTTTTTAACACTACCTCCAGCTATTCTTCTTCTCAAACAAATAAACAAATACATTAACTCACCCTAGCTTGTTCATGAGTAGGCAAAATGGAGTAAAGAGGGAGCACCCACATAGGTTGAGTAGTGGTTTTTTGTAGCACTTCTGCATCATCTAGCCCCTCATCATCAGAATTTTCATCAAAGTCATCACCAAATAGATCAGACTCTGTGTCATCAGGTATCACATCATATCTTTAAAAATTAAGAAAGCAGGCATTACATTTAAGTACAGATGCTATTAACTCCATAAAAAATGAAATTCCCGTCACTCACTCATCTAAGTTGACTGATGGAAGAGCCATTTGATGTTTCTGTTTCATGTGTTTCCTTGCTTTCTGAATAGCTCTTTCCATATCAAGTTCTACTTCCTCCTCATTGTCTTCTTCAGTATTATTTCCTTTGGGTACTGCCCTTTCAGATTTTTCTTTTAAAACCTTTTTTAAATTTCTACCTTTAAGGGGGAATGCGGTTTTCAATTTCCGAACCAATGTATTTACTTCCCGTTGGCCAGTAAGAAACACTAGGATGCCACCATCAGGAAGCTGTGCATGAATTTTGCATACCTTCCTGAATGCTTCAAGGCAGTAATCAGGATTGGTACGTTTATTAAAATGAATAGTTACAGGAAACTGGCGAGTTTCAACCTGTAAACGCGAATATGGTACAATTAAGTGAAAATGCCTTTCAAGCAAACCAAATTAATGCGATTCAATACAAGACACAGACTATACCTTTATGACAGGAGGAGTTATTCTGAAGAGGCGTGGGTTCTCAATAAAGTCTTCCAGGCGCAAAGTGGCCGACATTATTATAAGCTTGAGAGGGTTACCCCTTTTGAGACGCAATGGAACTATGCGTGAGAGAAGACCTATTAGAATATCAGTGTAAACACTCCTTTCATGAGCTTCGTCAAGTATGATAACCGAGTACTTGGTTAAAAGGAAATCCTAAAATAGAATAAAATAGATAAATTAGAGAAGCACCAAAGCATATTCTGACCTGTCACAGGAAGATAAGTTTACTAACATTTTGAATTTCTTTTAACAGAACACCATCAGTCATAAATTTGATCTTGGTATCATCGGTAACGTTTCCTTCAAACCTGATAAGGTATGAAACCTCCTTAGAAGTTAAATCAAGTTCTTCGCCTACTCTCCTGGCCATTGATATGGCTGCCACACGTCTAGGTTCTGTGACACCAATTAGCTTGCCATCCCTGTAAATTATTATTATGATAAAAATAAATAAAATAAGAATAATTCAAACAGCAATTAGCTGTTTTCTAAATACTTTTTCTAAATGTAAAATAACAATTAATACCTGGCATATCCAGCTTCATACAAGAATTGGGGGACCTGAGTAGTTTTTCCACTGCCTGTTTCTCCTGCAATGAGGACCACGGGATTTTCAGAGATTGCCTCCATAATTGCCTGCTCCTCTGCCAGAACGGGTAACTTCATTCTTGCCTCCTGAATTGCAGGGCTCCTGTTTACCGGTACAAATATTGCTGGTTTTGAAGGTATTGATTTCATTTTAGGGGCTAAGCCTAAATTGGATAGAAAAGCACAAGTTTAGTAACAGAATTTTAAAAATCTGGTTGGAGCACAAACATTAACAAAACAGTAGACGCACTCTTTTTGTTGGACTCATCTTCTTCATTTGGACATTCTTTGTCTGTTTCTGTCTTTATCTTGCAATCTTCAATTTTTGAGGTTCCATTAAGATCAGGTGCTTCTTGATTTTTTTCCGAATCTTCACTATCTTTAGCTTCTGTCATAATATCATCAGGAATTTCTTCTGCACCCTCATCATCTTCAACCTGCCCATTTTCATCATCATCTTCTGGGTCTTCCTTCATCTCTTCTTCTTCAGCCTCACTAGATTCATCACTGGAGGATTCCTATCAAATTAAAAGAGGGTTCGCTGAGTCATGCACAAAACAGTAAAAACAAGTTCCTTTGTAATAGTATTTAATAAAAATACCTCAAAGCCAATGACGTTCAAATTATTGGAGGCCTTTTTTTCCTCTTCTGGTCTCCAAAGACCAGCTTTCAGAAGAGCTTTTCTTCTTTTGCTACCTGATATACTGTTAAGAGAACTCCTTGAATCTCCTTGAATTTCATCAGCTGACCGTTTTAAATTGTCACGAGGATCAGTTGAGGCCTCTTGTTCAAGAAATATCTTTCTACGCCCTTTGGTTTGAACAGCTGCAATTGAGGTAAGTTCTTTCATTGTCTCAGGATTTGCTTGAACTTCCGATAAAGCTTGCAGTAACTGTGACCTCTGTGAAATTAAATATGAATTATAAAATGTGATATGATATACAAACAAAAATATTCAAAAAATACTTACGTTTTCTTTCTTCTTCTTTTTGTCAACAATCTTTTCCAAGCGTTTCCTCTGCTTCCTGGAGAGGACTTTCGTAATTGTGCCCGCATTTTTTACCAACTGTGTCTTGCGCTTCTGGGAGGGTATTACTAAAGGGTTTGCTGCATCGTATGTCTCTTTTCCTTGAGTGTCAATGTCAAGCTTGATCTGGAATTGAAACAATGAACCAATACAATGCAGAAAATAGCTGATGATGACGAATAAAATCGACCAGTTATAAATGAGAAAAGTGTGTGAAGTGTATCGAAGTGATTATCTGAAAATTCATATTATTTGTACCACTGTTTACAAAGTTCCTAATGTGAAGAGAAAGGTTAAGACATGACAAATGTGCAATGTTTTAAGTACCTTTGACGTTTCTGCATTGTCAATGACTGTATTTTTGACTTGGCGAGCCTTCCAATTATATTTCTTTTCGGCCTTCCCCATTTTAGAACTCACAGGTGTTTTCTGTTCAAGAAAAAGTATCAACTGCACAAAACACACATGGAGATCACACCAACATGATTCTGCCATCAATAATTTCTCATACGACAAGGCGTACTGTCTATGAGAAACTGATAAATACGCTTATGACCAAAAATGAGAAGGCAGTGGATGGTAGCCCGCCACCTCTTTGAATTGTCACATGTCTTGTTGACTTCTTGGCAACAAAATACCCGTTAGAATCGTTAAAATATGTCGAAGCCGGTGAGATGTTTCTTGCGATGCGTTGCAGAGACTCATGCACCCATCTCACTTCCTCATCTCGAGGACGTCATCCTCGGAAGGTGTCCTGAGACGCAAATAACGGATAAAAGGTGTTCCAAAAAACAATGTGAGTACGTTTTAACCTTTAGAGACTGTCAACATGACATTACGTTTGTTCGTTTTTGGATGCACATTATTTCGTCGCATGTGCAGATTTGTTCCATTATATTGTCTTCAATTTCTAACACGAGAATTTATTTATGTCACAGTGGCTTTCAGAGCTGATGTCAGCAAGTTGTCGGTGATGGTCAGACACCTTGGAACAAACTTCTCCGCAGTTAATGGTCGTCCCTTGGGCCGGAATGGCGAGACAGTTGCTCAACACGGTGACACTGTGAATTTCCTCCTTGGCCAGTTTGAATATGTGGTGGAGTTTGATCCGTGTAAGCGGAAACTGGACTGCGATGAATCCGAGGATGAACCCAATACGTCAAAGAAAGCTCGTGAGGATCCTGGAACCTCGTCTCAATTTGAACAGGACACGTGGCAAAGTATTGAAAATGGAAAGCTCCTTACTTTTTTGAGTAAGGGTTGCCATTGTTCAGACAAGGTGAGAATGGCTTGTAGAATTTGAGTGAGTAGAATCCACTTTTTAATGAAACTACCTGTTTCTAATCATTTTTTGGCTTTCAAATTTCAGATTGCAGCCTACGATATGGATGGCACAATAATTACCACTAAATCAGGCAAAGTCTTTCCTGAGAACCCCAATGATTGGAAGATTTTGTGGCCAGAAATTCCATCAAAGCTGCAAAAGTTACACCGGGATGGTTTCAAAGTAATTGCCAACTATCATTGAACTTAAATAATTTTTCGATTGGACTTCATTTGCATGATTGGAAGACTTCATCAATTGTTGTTCCATTTCAGATTGTGATATTCACTAATCAGGCTGGCATATCAAGAGGCAAAACTACAGTTTCCGAGATTCAACAGAAGATAGGAAAAGTAATTTCCGCTTTAGGCGTGCCAGTGCAAGCTTTTGTTGCTACTGGTGACACCATATTCCGTAAACCTGCCCCAGGCATGTGGGATATCCTTACCAAAGAGGTTTGACAGCTATTAGTAACTCAAATTAAAGCTGTTGTTCAACATAAAATTTTCTCAGTTTTGCTTCTAACATTTTATTTTTAAATATTTTTCTAGAGAAATGGTGAACTTTCAATTAATATGGATGAATCGTTTTACTGTGGAGATGCTGCTGGACGCCCAGAGAACTGGGTTCCTAAAAGGAAAAAAGACTTCAGTTGTTCGGATCGTTTGTTTGCTAGAAACCTTGGTCTAAGGTTCTACACTCCTGAGGAGCATTTTCTTGGCCAACGAGCCGCACCATTCAAATTACCTGACTTTGACCCTGCCCTAATGCCTGAAGCAGATGCTGCACTCATCCATCCCCCAAGTGCAAAACTAATATCATCAAGTCAAGAGGTGAGTGAGAGTGCCTCTTTATATCATGTCTCACCCTTTACCAGTTATTTATATTTATCTTAGAACATCCATTTTATTATTTGTTGTTTTAGATTCTCCTAATGGTTGGATTTCCTGGGTCAGGCAAAAGCTTTTTCTGCAAAGAGTATCTTATTCCAGCAGGCTATAAGCATGTCAACAGAGACACCTTAGGGTCATGGCAAAAATGTGTGGCTGCAGCTGAATCTGCCCTTAAAGGTGGACACAGTGTAGTTGTTGATAATACCAATCCAGATGCAGAATCGCGAGCCAGGTACATTGAGTTAGCATCAAAGTATAAAATTCCTTGCAGGTGTGCAATGATTGGAGAGTCTATCACTAGAGCTAGGCATAACAACAAGGTAAATTTTTGTCTATCACTGTATTTTATTTTTACATGACAGTGAAGTGTTTTTTATCCCTGCCACAATGCTGACAATTTGTTATTTTTTCTTTTGTAGTTTCGTGAATTGATTGGGGAACCTCATCAACCAATATCAGAGATGATAATGAATTCTCACAAGTGAGTCCTAAGTTTGTTCTCTGTTTCTAATGTTTTATTTTACAATGAGTACGTCATCCTAGCCTCCCGCCCCTTTTTTTTTTCAGATCAAAATTTAAGGAACCAGAGGAAACTGAAGGCTTCCAAGAAGTAATAAAAATATCTTTCAAACCTAAGTTTACTAATAAGAAGCATGAACGCTTGTATAAAATGTATCTGCTGGATAAGTACTAAGAAACAGAAAACAAAGGTAATTTTTTAATTGTTATTTATTTTTCCACTTACGACCTACAATAAATATTAAGAATGCTATTGCTCTTCGTTTGTATGTGCCCCCTTCTATGGTATTTTGTGCAGAGTGGTACTGATAAAGTGCTGTGCTCCTTGGTTGTTACACAGTCGCATGAAGTAATTGTCTTCCAACAAAATTTTGGTCTAGATCAAGGTTTCATACTGCATTTCATAGGGGGCATTGGCCTAAAAGACCATATTCTGTCTTGGCCGTAGAGCTTCCTTCAAAACATTGTTGTATGCTTGGATTGTTTTACTTGCATCTGCTTTGATAGGGCCGCAGTCAGTCTCACTTTTTTTGGATGCAACAAACTCTCTCATTGCAAAGTTATTTTGTTCTAAAAGTGACAATTTCCTTTCTAAGTTGCTTAGTTGAGCATATGTTTCATTTTCTAACAGTTGTTTCTGAAAAGATTAAGTTTTCATTAAAACTTTTTCAGATTCTATAAAATACATAGTATTTAATTTGTAATTAAAAAATAACAATACTTTGAGATCTGCGTTCCGTTCTTGTGCTCTTTTCAGTTCTCCTTTTGCAGCTTCATAATTTTTTTGGAGCTTTTCCTTCTTTTTTAGGAGTTCCTCACGCTTTGCATCACATGCAGTGCGCAGTGATCCTAAGTCTTTTAGCTTTGGAAGTTCAGCTTGCATTGTCTTCATTGTCTCTCTCAGAGTCTCCATTTCTTGACGAGCTTTCGTTTCTAATTCTTCCACCTGAAGATAAAGAGTTAATTTAAATATTGATATTGACTAGTATATTGTACTGTATACAAATAGCTCATTACGATTTTACCTTATCAAGATTCACTTGAAGTTGAGCTTGCTGTGTCGCTAGGGATTCAATTGTTTGCTTAGACCTATCAAGCTCTGTTTCATTGATAGATAATGATTCTTGAATGGCACTTAAAGTGTCTTTGTCTGGCAGACCATGGGCTACTCGAGTTACAGCCTTTGACAGGCTCTGTAATTTTTGTACCACTTCTTTCTCCAACTGCTCTATTCTATCTGTCTCCTGTGCTCGATTTTCTTCAAAAGTTGCCAGGAAGCTTTCAATTGTTTCCTCTCGCTTCCGCAGTTCTCTGTATTTCTGGTGCCTCTCGCTTTGGCTCTCTTCAAGATCCTGCAAATATTTCTTTTTATTCAGCTACTTGCAATTTTTTTTTTTTTTTTTTAAATCTATTGGGAGCTAAACTTGTCTTACCTGATCCAGGGAATCTATTTCTTCTTGCCGGCGCCTTGCGGTTTCTCTTAGTTCTGCTAGTTGTCTCTCCATACTTGCTGTTTCTGCATTGTCCTCTTTCACATGCTGCAATAAAGTTTCTCTTTCTTGTGCTGGAGAGGCCCTTGTCTGTTCCTCAGCAAGCAGTTGATTGCGTCTACTCTCTGCCTCTGCAAGGCGAGCATGCAGGTGCACAGCCTCCTGCTTCACTCGAGACATGGATAGCTGGTCTTCTAAAGCTGCTTTACGGGATGTCAAGCCATCTAGTTTAGCTTGCAGTTGATCCATGGTGACTTGGAGCTGTTGGTTCTGCTCCTTCATTTGAGAATACCTGTGACGCAATGAAGGATCCATTGCCTCAATGAGTCCATCAGCCATTTGCCTTTCCTGTGAGGAACCCAAGTCCAAAATGTTAAAATAATACTTGTTTGCTTGATGGAATGGTATTCATTTAACAAAATACATTACCTGCTGTATTTCCTTCTCAAGCTGGGAAATTTGCGCTTCACGCTGTCTCCTTTCTTCAAAAGCTTGCTCTATTGTAGCTTTCCTTCGCTCATTCATACCTCGTAACTCTTTAGTTTCGGCTTGTACATCCTCCTTTGATGTGTCTGTACTTAGTTTATCGACAACAAGGTTCAGATCTCCTAATTTCCCTTGTAGTTCTGTAGAGTTATCAAGGTATTTATAGTCAACAAAATCATTGATTCAAAATAAGAAAAACAAAAACAAAACATTTTATCTTGTCACCTGTCAATTCTTGTGCCATTTCCTTTGCACGACGGTCATATGTTAAAAATGTTGACTGTTCTCTGCCTAAGGCCTCCAATTCATTATTTAGCCTCTGAACTTCAGCTCCTATTTCTCTCGATTTCAATTGAAGTAGGCCTTGAAAGTAACGTTTGTCTTGTACTTGACGAGGCATGGGCCCTCGCGGAGCAGCAGAACGAAGTCCTGACAGTCCTTGCTGGGTGACTGGTCTGTCCATCATGCTCATAGCCTGCCAAAAGAAATTATTTATGGATTGTCATGTTGTTTAAAATGTTTTGATGAGACTTTTACTCACAGTAGAAGGTGGCCGTCCCATTGAGGATCCGGCTCTGGTTGGCGGAGGCTGATACTGCATTGCAGATGCCAGTCTGCTGGCCGTGCCTGGGGGAATGGCACTGGCTCCGGCAGAAGGCGGCCTTGCTGAAGGAGGCCTGTTCATCCTTCCTGCCGATGTCGGAGGCCTAGACTGCTGAGTGTAAGGTCTCAACCCCAAGGATGCTGCCTGAAATTTGACGTTGTTTGCATTTGTTTTAAAAGCAATGAATGGACCGCTTCAGTTGTGGTCAAAGGAAGAGCAATGCAAACACTACCTGTGCTGTGGCATTATCATCCCTTCTCATTCTCGTCATTGGACGGTCGGAAATTCCGTTTTCCATGACTCAAAAGTTCTGAGTTCGACAGTTGTCAATCACTTTTACCCGTTGTAAATGAGGCAAAGCTTGACAGTCGCAAACACAACTGTCACCCACAAACTGCACGGTATGCGTAGAGGCCTCTAGGCATGCGGATGCGGAGCAGACGACGCAGTGTTTGTGTTTGGGTCTCCCGTTGCCATGGCAACCGGTGCGGGGAGGGTGGGGGTGGGGGAAAGACCCGGCGACCGAGTTCCGGAGACGACCCACAGATGGCGCCACGGCAAGCAACATCCTTGCCGCTCGGCTCCCCACTCCGCGCAAACCCGTTTCGGCGGCGGCGTTGCTAGGGAGTGAGCGGTCCCTTGACAAGCCAAACAAAAGCAAAGCAGCCGAGCCGAGCCGAAGTGGCGAGCCGAGCGCGACCCGAACCCGACCGAAGCACCGAAGCAGCGCAAGCAAAGCACAACAGTTGCCTCCCGTCTGCACTGCGCGCCGCCCGGCTAAAGTGTTTGTACCCGCGCCTCAACAACAGCCTCGCAGCGTCCTTTCGTCGTCGCGGTCCTGGGCTTTCCGGAGTCCCGTTCATGGTTCATGTCGTGCGCGTCCCTCCAGGGTCCCTCCAGGATCACGGCGGCAATGCGCGCGCGCCACTAGTGGGCCACACGGCCGGCAAGTAGGAAGGCAGGCAGCCGGCGCGCCGCGTTTCGTTTGAATGCTGCCGACGCGGTCCGGAAAAAGAGAGCCCAGCGTGAATCGCGAATGTGCCGTCGGTGACACGAGGACCGGCACGGCCTAGCACGGCCCTGCAGAGCGGCCACAGTGGACGACAGCGCCGCGCGCCCCTCCGAGCCTCCGACCTTGATGTGCCGCGAGTGAATCCTTGTCCGAGTGAAGTGTCAGTGAAAGTGCAACTGCCGCGGTGCAGCGGCGTCGCGCGTCCTGGTCGAGCACAAGCAGCCCTCCGCCATGGATGAGGAGGACAGCAACCCGATGGGGACCAAGTCCCCCATCAAGCGGCTCGGCTCGACGCGCAAGCAGGTGTTCTTCAACAGTGAGTATCGCCGTCGTCGTCGTCATCGGATGGAGTGGAGTACCCGTCTCGACCTGCTGCTGCGCGGCCGGCTTTTCGTTTCGAAGTTTGGCAGCGTACCAGCGTAACGGTCATCGGGGCGCTCAACGCCGCGCCGCCGCCGTCTGTTCTCCGAGGCATTTCTCAACTGGAATTACTGCATGTAATACGTATTTCATTATTGCAAGTATTGGCGCCGCTCGTGGCAGTGTACTAGCGCAGCCTGCAGTTACGCCCCTGGCTGCATGCAGGCCATGGAGGCCATGCAGGCCGACGAGGCTCCCCGGCGCTGCAGCGCGCTGCGGGTCAGTTGGCGCCGCAAATTGTGGCTTAGTGGGAAAACTGGATCCGCTCTGTCTCTCTCACACTAGCGCTGGAGCGAGACGCCGCCCTCATGAGTGCGGAAAAGAGAAAAAAAGAGACAGAGAGTGCCTGGAGCCACCCACGACCGCGACGCGCCGCGACGCGATGCCCCGCGGCTGTATTTCCAATCTGTGTGCACTCTGGGTTGCATCACCGATGTCGTCACCGGCGGTCGCGGGTTCGAATACCGACTTGTGTCTCGTTTCCCGAGTGCAGCGTCGCGCTGCGAAGGAGACGGATGGAAGGAAGGAAGGAAGGAAGGATTCTAGCGACGGACATTGGCCGGCGATTAGTTCCAGGCATTGAGGTGGGAGGGGGGGGGGGGCACTGGCGGCTGGCACGACAGGTGCAAGGGGGACGGCTGGGGGAGGGAAGGGGAAAGGGAAAAGGAGTGAGGGGCTTGGGGGAGAGGAGGGGAGAGAGAGAGGAGAGGGGGAGAGGGGAGAGGGGAGAGAGAGAGAGAGAAGAGAGAGAGAGAGAGAGAGGGGAGAGAGAGAGAGAGAGAAGGGAGGAGGGAGGGGAGGGGGGGAAGGGACCCCCGGGGGGGGAGGAGGGAAGGGAGGAGGGAGGAACCCCGGAGCGGGAGGGGGGAGCGGAAAGAAAAGGGAAAGAACCGGGCCGGGGCGCTGCCCCCCGTCGTTGCCCCATTGTGCGGCCGGGGGCCCAGTGTGTGGCACCAGGTGCGAGGAACGGCAGCGGCCGGGGGGAGCGGGAGATAGGCGACAGAAGGGCCGTGCGGCGTCGCGCCTGTCGGGGTGCACCCCCAGGGACGCCCCGCGAGGGGCCGAGTGGACGCAAGTGGGCCGGAGACCGGTGGGGCCCAAAACTCTGGGGCGCGTTTTTTTAGCCAGAGTCGCAAAGGGGGCTCGAACCGAACGTGGACCCCCCAAGGATTGCTCTCCAGACGAGGAATCCATCGGTGGGGGCACACGTTCGGTTCGAGTCCCATTTAGCGACTCTGGAGCTCAAAACGCGTTTAGAGTTTTAGCCGCCTCTACCGGTCCTCTGGCCCACTGCACTACAAATCTATTGGCGGTACACATGGTGTGGAAAAGGCGGTAAAACCTGTACCGCCTTTCTATTGGCGGTAAAATCTGGAGCCCGCCAATTACGCACCCTACAAATTGAACGAAAAAGGCGGTACAAAGTATTACCGCCCATTGCATGCCATTTAGATGGTGCGAAAAAGGAGGTACAAAATATTACCGCCTTTTACGTTCTCTCAGTGCGCCAAGAAATCGGCGGTAAAGCTCTTTAAAGGCGGTACAAACGGTTCTGTAAGGGCGGTAATTTCTGTACCGCCTTCGTATTGGCGGTAAAACCTGGAGCCCGCCAATAGCCAATTACCGCCAGTAAAGGGTGGAAATATTACCGCCTTTCGATTTGGAGTGTGTGCGACGAAAGCACTGTTCGGAATGAGCTTTCTGGTGGGCCCTGGAATGAACAAGGAAACGCGATCTCCGTCTTGGCGTCTTGTCGCACCTGCAGCTACACCGCCAGGCCGCCATCTTCTCGTCGGCGTCTCTACCTGCGCCTTTTGTCTTTCCGCCAAGCCGGCCCTGTGCTATTCAAACAGGTGCGGGCGGCGCGAGCCAAAACGCCAAAACCGGCCGAACCAAAACCATCTTGGTGCTATGAAGTGGATGCCGCTTGCAAAGCACCGAGCACCGAGACGCCGCACTTCTACAGTGCTCCTCCTCGTCGGCTGAGGAATGGCCCCCATCAGCAGGCGGATTCCGATCGCTCTGCCTCTCTCGCACTCACGGGGCGTCCGTAGGGCTGCGAGAGAGGCAGCGGGCACCCTCCGCGAGCCCCGCGTCCAGAAGACTGATTCCGAGTGAGAGCTCTCTCTCTCGCACTCATAAGGCGCTCCATACCGGTGGGAGAGAGATAGACCGACGGGCACACTGTGCGGAATCAGTCTACAGGGCGAGCAGGATGAGCTGGGCGCTGCTGGGCGTGGATGCCGCTGCCGCCCGTTCTTGATGCGCATCGTCGTCCTCGCCCTCTCCCCCTCCGAGTCCTCGTCCGAGCCCAACGCGCCAACGGGTGGAGTCCGTTCTACTTTACGGTCGTCATGGCGTTCGAGAGCACCACTCGCTTTTGCCCAATTGCTTTTTCGAAGAGGCGGGGCGGCTGCTTGCCCGTCCGTCCGTCCGTCCGCAGGCCGGCCGACGGGGGCGAGGAGGGGCGGGGCGGTGGCATGTCCGGCGCGTGGGGCGGGGCGGGGCGGGGCGGGCAGACTGTGGCCAAATCCAGATTCGCCGCAGAATGCTGAACGTTACACTGTGTGGGTAAGGCTCGACTCCGCTCTGGTGTGCACTGCGTGTTGACATTGCATCCGCGCCGGTCAGAGTCCCGGGGGAGGAAAAGGGGGAGGGGGCAATCCCTCCCCTCGTCCTCCTCGACCCCTCCGTCATCGCCGAGCACAACAAAGTGGACTCCGTGAGGCGGTAGCGACGCACGGTAGCGACGTCGGGGGTATAATTTTGGCGGCGTCCCTTTCGGGCAACACTTTAATTCGCTTACTTTCCCTTTCTCCCCGACTCCAAAGGACCGACAGCAGCCCAACGTCTCGCGCTCTCTTTTTATTTTTTTTCCGCTCTGAGTCATGCATTGGCGCGCCGCTGTTTGGTGTCGCAGTCGCACCGGAAGCTGTCGCCTTTGCACCTCAATGAGAAGTACTGAGTGTATGTCCGGTTTGGCGCGCGGCACCGCGCGGCGCACGGCGTGCACACTGTGCACAGCGAGCGGCGGGCGTTGTCGCGAGGGCGGCTGTTTCCGCCGCACTCTCAATAAATGTGCCTCCTGAAACGCTCACACACACTCACACACTTTGTATTCCTGCCTGGCGACGACGACGGCGTCGACGAAGCCGTCCGTGGTCGCTGGCTTCGCTGGCTTCGCTGGCTGCTTTGCCTTGCAACGTATAGAACGCGCTGGTGACGTTCTGTGGCGTGCACCTGGAGTGCCCCGCTGCAGCCAAGGCCCCCCTCCCTCCTCTTTCCCTCTGCAGCCCTGCAGCCGGAATGCGTGTAAAAGATTTGTGTTGGCGCTGGCGCAGTTGTTGTCACGCCGGGTTAATTAATTCGAACCCTTATGTGGCGGGGCGGGGCTCGTCGCACGTGGCCCGGGAGGGGGGAGGGGGAGGAGGACACACAACAGCTGCCCTTGTCTGGCGCGCGCATCACACACTCACTCACACTCCCGCAGCAGCAGAGCAGCTTGCCGGCGGCCGGCGCGGCACGGGTTTTTGGGCGGGGCGCGAAAAAGGTGTAACCGCCGGGGACCGTCCGGCAACGCGGTGGCAACGCCGTCGCCGCCCTGCCCCTACCCACCCGGACGCTGCTTGCCCTTCTCAACATTTCGTTTCCATCTTTTCCATTCCCGAATGCGCGTCGTTGTGTTCTGTGGTGTGGGAGGCGGTGGCGCGCGGCCTGATGCGTTATCAGCACGCCACTGCCTGGTGCTGGGAGCTGCCGGTGCTCGCGCACAGTGGGCCAGAAGACCGGTGGAGGCGGCCAAAACTCTAGACGCGTTTTGAGCTCCAGAGTCGCTAAGCAGGACTCGAACCGTTCGTGTGACCCACCAATGGATTCCCCGTTCGGAGAGCAATCCATTGGTGGGGTCACACGTTTGGTTCGAGTCCCATTGGAGCTCAAAACGCGTCTGGAGTTTTGGCCACCTCACTGGTCTTCTGGCCCACTGTGTCGCGCCCGGCCCAGGCCGCGGTGTTCGATGCCTCGCCCAGATACCACCACGTACGGTACGGCAGCACGGCCAGCACGGCGCCGTCGTCCTGGGGGCCGGAGGGGCTGGCGTGCGCCGCGTTGCTCCGCCACTGCCTGGTCGCTCCGTCCTCGCTCCGTCTCTCCACGGGACGCCCCTCGAGTGCGAGAGAGACGGAGCGACGCAGGGGTCAAGACGGCGATGCATATGGATGCACGGAAGGGCTGGCGGCGACACTGCAGCACGGCCCGGCGGCCCGGCAGCGCGGCGTAAGTGGCTGTCGTGTCGTTTAGATAATGACAGTCGCCAAACGAGCTCGACGACGACGTCCCCCGCAAGTTCAACGAGGCACTGCTGCAGCTGCGACGCCCGTCCGGCCGCCACCGCGGCGGCGCGAGGTTCGCGTTGGACGTGGCCGCGAAGGGCCCGCGGATGGACGTGGCCGCGAAGGGCCCGCGGATGGACGTGGCCGACGTGGCCGCGAAGGGCCCGCGGATGGACGTGGCCGCGAAGGGCCCGCGGATGGACGTGGCCGACGTGGCCGCGAAGGGCCCGCGGATGGACGTGGCCGACGTGGCCGCGAAGGGCCCGCGGATAGACGTGGCCGCGAAGGGCCCGCGGATAGACGTGGCCGCGAAGGGCCCGCGGATGGACGTGGCCGACGTGGCCGCGAAGGGCCCGCGGATGGACGTGGCCGCGAAGGGCCCGCGGATGGACGTGGCCGACGGGGTAGTCACGGGCCTCTCCGCGAGGGGCTGGCGGCGGGCCGGTCTGAATCGTGGGCATGACTCACTGCGTTACCCTCGTTCTAGGAAGGCGCCTCCCCGCCCGCTGCCGCCGCGGCCGCGGAGCCGACGCGGAGCTGGGGTGCCTTGGTGCCTTATTGGAGC